GGCGGACTGTCAGTGGCGACACTACAGACATTTCTGGAGACGTTCGCTTCATCACTCCTTTCACTTACCCTCTGACAGCATCTCAAGCACACCCATGACATGGAGCACTTTACATCACAGTTCGAGATGACCAGGATCTGGTCTACATACGGTAGCGTCAAGGTGCACGCTCAAGGACACATGCTCTCCAAGAATGATGTAGAATTCAAGGTTGACGTTTCTAGCCCAGTAAATAAGGGATCAATCGCCTTCAAGCACACTGTCACTAACACCAAGATGGATTCCTCAGTTGATGTCATTTTCAACTCTGAACGTATTCATGTGTCTGTGGGTGGGACTTCTGGATGTGTCTAGGACTTGGCAAACATTGAAGCTGAAGTTACTTCCACTTTCAGTGGCCTAGATGATGTAAAGTCAGCATCGATAGCAAGAAGGATGACAACACAAGAACTTCCAACATAGTTCTCATGAAGGGAACAAAATCTGTTGTTATTGACCATACCATTACCTTCAATGATTGGTTCAACTGGGAAAACTCCTTTATTGTGAATGGAGTCTACAAATTAAGCAACAAGCAGATGCATGCTGGCTCTCTGTACAAACACCAACTTGAGTACATGTGGGATCGCCAACTTGTGCAATTCGAAGGAACTTTCGACAAGAAGATCTCTGGAAATACCCGTCAGATTGATGCCCAGGTCTCCCTTTCCACTCCTTGGACTGAGGACATGAAACTTGATTTGCACCACCAAGATGATGGTGTTGAGTACAAACCAACACTTATCATTGAGTACAGGCCTGGAATGAAGATTGAAGTTGCCTCTGTTCTGAAATGCGATTCATCATTCTTCTACACTGCATCCACTCTTACAACACCATTCTGGCAGCCAATGGGATACAAACTCAACATTGACTTCCAGCCAAGGAAGACTGCTACTCTTGTTTTAACCCGTAGAGCCAACAGAACTACTATTGACATCACAGGAAAAATTGAACAAGGAAAGGTAGATGGTGAGCTGCATATCGATTCTACATATCTTACCAAACCGGTTTCTCTGGAGGTGTTCTATGACATCATTTCAGCCGAAAAGAAAGTGAACTTGGCGCTTGATTTTGACAAGAGGTATGAGATAACAGGAGTCATTGCTGGTCACCTTAAACAAGCTAAATGGTCTCTTATGATGGACCTTCCTCTTGAAGCTGTACAAAAAGTTGGTTTTAGTGGCGAGTACAATGTTGAAGCCATGCCTTCACTGCCAATACAGTACTAATTTTCAACACCCAGAAATACCAGGTAAATGGCAAGATCAACGTGGATGAATTCCAAATCAATATGGATTTGAATGGAAAAACTGGAAGTTTGGTCAGCAGTTGGAACTACCAGGAGAACTACGCTGGTGTTGAAATCGACTTCCAGTCACCACTTACGACACTGGACAACATGTCTATCTCAGCAATGTATGACTTCCGTAGTGAAAAGAAAGTGACCCTCAAGATGACACGTAACTCAAAGGAAATCAACCTTTCTGGACGACTTGAAGGACAAACCATTGTTTTTGAAGGCACAACTCCATTCAGTGGATGGGAAACACTTAAGGCCTCATTCTTCATCTCCAGCTCTGCTGTTAAAGCCTTTGTGTCCAGGAATGACCGCAAGATTGAGGTTACAGGAACACTGCACATCAGAAAAGTCAAGGGAAAGATCAATCTCACCATCAATACTCCATATGCTGGCTATGAAACCATTGCTGTTGACACAAGCTACAGCTTACAGGGCCAGGTGAAAACAGTGGAGTTTGAAGCCAAATTTGGCTTACAAGAACTCTCTTTGAAGGGAGACATCAAGACAAACAACATCCTAGCTCCTGAGATGACCCTCAATATCATTACTCCATTTGAAGCTGTAAGAACTCTTGGTGGAGAAGCTCACTGGGACCTGAGAAACCTTGTCAAGACTGCCGAAGTGAAGGCTTTCCGCAATGACCGTCACTACCACTGGCAGTTAGAGGCAGCTGCTGATAGTCCCCTAAAGGGTTATGCCAAATCCAAGATCACAACTCCCATTGCTGGATGGACAACAGTCAGTTTGGAAGGAAACTTTGATTTCACCTCCATGCCTTACAGGGCACTTTTTACTTACAATAAAGAAGGAGTTATCAGCACATTTGAAGTACAAGCTAGTGTAGCAGAAACTGCAGTATCTGGTGAAATTACAACACCAATCTCTGGCTGGGAGAAGATTGCTTTGAATGGCGACTATTCTCTGGTTAACAACCTTCTGTCTGGAAATGTGGAGATCACCAAGAGTTCTGACAAATATCATCTCAATGGGGAGATTGCTTTTAATACTCAGAAGCCGAAGTTGAATATTGGCATCAGGACACCTCTAGCAATGCTGCTGATATTGAGCTGGTTCTTGATGCTAATCTAGTGATACAGAAAAGAATTTCCACATTACCTTCAAAAGGAATGACATCACTTATTCTGCAGATTTCACAGGCCAAATGATCTACAAAACAGGATTCGTGAAGCTGCATACAACTTCGCCAATTCCAGGTTTTACATCCCTGGATGTTGATGCCAAATACGACTTTACTGGAGACGTGAAAACTGCCGAAGCCAATCTTATGAAGGAAGGAAATAACCAGCATATTTCACTGACCTCCACAGTCAATGACAACGATTTCCATGTTGAAGTTGAAACACCATTTGCTGGTTTTGAATCTGTGAAGATGGACGGAGATTACGCTTACCTCAATAATAAACACAGTGTCTCAGCTTCATTTGAGAAGAATAGTCAGAAGTATGACTTCCATGCTGAGATTTCACTCAATGCCAACTCGGTTACCCTGACACTGGTAACCCCAATAGTAGACATTAAGCATGTTGTCATTAGTGGCAATTACCAGGCTATTGAGAATGGAATGGAATGTTCTCTTGTCATTGAAAGAAACCAGGATAAGTTTGAGTTTAATGCTCAAGGGTATTTTACACCCAAGAAATCAGATCTCCACCTCTCACTGGAGATGCCTGTTGAAGGCTGGAGGAAGCTTGAGCTGGATACCCACTATGATGTTATCTCCGACAAGAAGTCTGCTGAGATCTCTTTCCAGAGAGATTCACTGATGAAAAAGCTGTATGTTGAGGGAAGCTACAATCTGAAATATGGATCTTTTAAGGTTATGACTCCTATTGAAGACTTCAGAGTCCTAGGTGCTGAATATACACTAAACCTTGATGAATATAACAAGAAACTGGATGCTTCTGTAAAGATCAGTCAAAACTCCAATGAATGGGCTTTCGAGGCACATGGACAATTCAGTGATGACAACATTGTCATTAAGTTCCAGACACCATTTGAAGGTTTTGACACCATTGCTGTAGAAGGAAACCTAAACTATGGAAACAGATCTGGAAGGTGTCATTCAGTTTGGACCTTATAAGTTTACCACCAGCATTTCCTACGCAAATGATAATATGTCCTTTGATCTGACGACTCCCTTTGATGTTATCAAGACTGTGTCCCTTTCAGCCCGGTACAGCTGGACCACCAGCCAAAAGGGTGCTACTCTAAACATCACTTACAATGACAAGAACTTTGTTCTCTCAAGTTCTCTGCAGCTCTCTACAAGGCCTCTAACATCACCTTCCAGGCCACAACTCCTTTCGAGGTTTCCAGAACTCCTTCATTGAAATCAAGTATGACATTGATAACAGAGAGGAGCTCCTTGCATCTCGTGTCAGTGTAGATGATCACAGCTACAGCTTTGTTGTAGGTGGATATATTGAGGACAAGCTAGCCGTGTTCAAGTGGAACCTTAACTCTCCTCTCACTGGCTGGACTGATGCCAAGTTTGTAGCTAAGATTGATCTTTCCAGTGAAAATAAAAACTTGGAAATCTCCCTTGAGAAAGAAGGAGACCTTAAAGCCATTGCAGTCTCTGGCAAGTTCATTGGCAGTACACTGGACTTTAATCTGCGAACTCCTTTCAGAGGGCTCAATAATTTCAATGTGTTTGGTTCTCTTAACCGGTCCAAGAGGTCTCTTGAAATGAGAATGATGAATGATGCAGGACAAGCATCTTTAGCTGGCAATTTCAACTCCCTCAGATTCAACATGAAGACTCCATTTGAAAGGGCAGAACAGATCTCCTGGGAGGTCACCAAGACTGGTGAAGGCTCCTACAAGGCTGAATGGAGGAGGAATGATAATTATGCCATAATCATGATAGAAAAGGATGGAAAGAAAAATTCTTTCCAAGTGGATGTGAAGAGTGAGTTTCAAGGATGGGAGATCTTGGCTCTTACTGGAAGACTAGATCAAGATACAAAACAGGCCTACCTCAGTGGAGCCATCAATGAACAGAAAATCACCATCTCTGGATCAGGTTCCTTTGGTAACAAAATCCAATATACCATGAAGATTGAAACACCCTATGAAAACTACAGAGTTGTAGATGTTCAAGTAGATTATGTGAAGAGAAGGAACACAATGAAGATCGAGGCTTCTTCATCCTCTTCTGATTTCCATCTTCTTTGGTCACGCTCAGGATCAGGCCTTGAAGCCCACCTTATTGTACCTAATTCACAGCAGAATACTGAAATTTCCATTAACCTCACCCCTACTCAAGGAAAATAACCATAACATCACGATTCGAGCCTATCAGGGATTACCTCCAAGAATACCATGTTAACCTTGGTCAGAATGATATCACTGCTGACCATATTATCAAGCTGAATGGTCATGAGGTTTTCAAGATGGACTTTGAGAGGAATGCTTCTGAACAGAAGGGACACCTGGAAATTCACATTCATGTAGCAGAACGCCACACAACTATTCATTTCCATCGTGAGGGCTTTAGCAAGCTTAATTTCCTCTTTAAACGTGAGGTTCCCCAGTATGGCGAGAAACACTTCAAGGTCGACATAACTGGATCAGGAGCATTACCACAAAAGGGTGCACTTGATATTGTTGTTGAGAACACCTTCCGTGAACCAGCGAGATCCATCAATGCACGTGTTGAAGTAGACCGGACTGGTGCCCGAAAGAAAATCAAGTTGGAAGTTATTCCACAACCAAGCAGACTGTATGTTTTCAACCTTGACTATGATGCAGACCTCCAAAGCCCACGACACGGAGACTTCACTTTGAGCATTACAACTCCTGCCAGGCGAATGTATCCATGGCAGAATGTGTCTGGAAACTGGAATGTTGAAAATCCAATGATGCTACAATAACCTTCACAATGGGCAACATGACTTATAATGCCAGAGGCAAGCTTACTCTTAGGAATCCACCATGATACTCTCTTCAACAGATCCATCCGCTGAGAACATTTACCTACAGTGGAAATTTGAACGAAATGGCGACACCAGAGATTACTTCCTTAAGCTTGGCCGTGAGTCCAAATACGGAATGCTGAAGCTGACGGGAACAATTACGGATATTGCTCATGTGGATATTGAAGGAGGCTTCAAGGCTGGACCATTCATGCCAAATGAGTTTCTGTTTACCTCTATGTGGGACAAGTCTAATGGTGTTGTCACTGGAGAAGGTACATTTGACTATGGAAACTATCACGGCTCCCACCGTCTGGTAAAGTTTGAGCGAAATGCAGAAAGGAAATCAGCATCCTTTGAATGGTCAGCAACTTCAAATCTTCCCCAGTACAACTCTGTCTCGGTTTCAGGAAATTATGATTTCGACCACAAAGTTGTTATCTTTGTCGTTATAAATGCTGATGGTAGAGAATCTAAAATTGATATCAACATTGCTGATATCAACCCCACAAGCTCTCGTAATACAGCAATGATTTCTATCCCACTCCTAGGACCTACATTTGAAAGAACAGAACTCACTGTCAGCCATGACTTTAGCCATCCAAACCGAAAATCTATCTCAGCTGTTGCCAAGTTTGGTCGCTCAGAATCCTTCATCAATGCCAAGTGGAACCGAAGTGATGGTTTTGAAACTCTTGAAGGAAATATAGAGGCCAAGTCTAGATTCCTTGGAGATTTTCTAATCAACGTCAGGTACGACATGTCCAATATTGCAGATGCTCATGCTGAAGTTGACTATTCAAGAACGACAACAGATGGTGATAAGAAGGAATTTAAGCTCAACTGGACTAGGAAATCCACTGATGACCATCTTGAAAATGAAATGATCTTTGACTCCAACTTTGAGACTCTGTCACATGCCCGTGCATATGCCAATGCTGAGTATGGTAACAATTTCAAATTGTTATCTGGGTTGGATTGGAATGACAAGAAAATTAGCCTTACCCTCGAAGTTCGCAAAACCAAGATTTCAGGAATACTTACCACACCATTTGAAGGATTTGAAACACTAGAGATTGACCTGCAGTATAAGCTTACTGGTAAGGACAAGTCAGTTCAAGCAACATATCAACGGGGAGATAGGAAAGTCAGTCTCAATATGGAAATGAGCATGAAGGGTAAAAAAGGAGGCTCCTTTAAAGTTGATCTCACTACACCTTTTGAAGTGGTGAAAAACCTTCATATTGACGGTCAGTATGAAAATAAAGTGGCTCAAATTAATTACCAGAGAAACGATATTCAAATGAACTTCAATGGAAAGGCCAACATCAAGTCCAGTAAAGCTTCCTTTGACATTTCATTCACACCACCTAGTGGACAAAATATCAGGATAGCTGCCTCATATGATGTACAGGACTTTATTGCTGGTACAGGAGATGAGGAGAAGGAACTAGCTAGTCTTTCACTTGAATTTGAAGGTAATCAATGGACTTCAGTCTTCACGGCTTCCGCAATGATGACAGACTCTATGTCATGATTCATGGCACTTCCTCCTTTGCAGTGCTCAAAATGTTCCATCTCAAATTAGATTCTGAACTGAATACTCAGGCACGGGATGGCACTTTTGAACTCACTTTCAATGATTTTAAATTCAATGTAAGCAATCATTTTGAGAGACGAGAAAATAATGGTTATTACTTTAGAAGCAAGATTGAGTCTACACTCACTCCACTCCCAGCACTGATCATTGGTCTTGGCCGTGAAGGTGAAGAACGCATCATAACCATTGGTTATGGAGAGGACAAAGAGATCACTTTCTCTGTAGAAGGCAAGAACAACTTCCTTTCTGGATTTTCGGGCAAGGTTGATATTCCTCCATAGGTTATGAAGGAGTGGAATATGATGTGGATTACAGCTTCCCAGGTGATAATCACCTCCAGATTAAGGTTGAGATTGACTTAAACGAGAACGGACAAGAAGTGGAGGCAACATTCTTCCTCGATTCAGAAGGTATCAAGGCTCGCCTCATCTGCTGTGCTTGGTGACCATTCCCTGCGTGTCGTCGATCAGTGTCCCCTGATGGCTTCTATGCTGAAGCTGGTCTTGATGATTACAACCTGAAACTGCGAGGAGGCTTCAAGAACGAAGATACTGCACGTGGTGTACAACTGGAAGGAGAAGTATTTGGTAAGAGATTCCTTATTGATACCTTGTTCCAGTCTGAAGGAAAGCGCTATTCTGAGGGTAAACTTATCATCCACACTCCATTCCATGGCATGGAAAAGATGGGTGGCCTATTCACCTGGTCTAATCAAAACAAGAAAATCATGGCCCATGCTGAACTACATCTTCCTTCCTACACAACACCAACGATTACTGGGGAGATTAGCCTAGACCTTAAAAAGAAGATCAATGGATATGTCACCCTTGATGTAGCTGGAGAGGAATTCACCCTCAAGTGCAATCTTGCTGGTTCCTCCATTTCTCAAGGTTATACAGGCTCACTTGAATTCTATACACCATTCCATGCTGTATCACATGTTGTATTGACCGGTGACATTAAGATGCAGGCATTGTCCTTCCTTGACATGGAAGTAAAAATTGATGCACCTTTTGCCACACACGACCTTAAACTGAAATACCAGCTCAGTGCTGACAAAGTGTCTGGAGAAGCCTTCATTCAGTCAACAAGGTTGTATAATACCATTCAGCTAAGCCTTAATCTTCAGGGCCTCAGTACTGGAAATGTAGAGGCCGACTTGACCGTCAATGACAGCAAGATTAACGCACATTACACTTTGGCTCAATCCACCTTCAAATTTGACGTGACCACAGTCATTTTTGGCAAGGAACGCCAGTTCTCCATTGAAGCTAAGTATCCATCTCTGGAGAACCTCCAGGGTGTAGTTGCTGTTACTCTGGAAGGTGAAAAGCACATGGTTAGTGGAAGCCTGAACATCGTTAACAATCGCATCCAAGGAGCTATGGATTTGGAATCTGATCTTATTGAGGGGCCACGGAAACTGGTCTTCGATGTTTTCATGCCAACTGCTTCCTATAAGCAAGTCTCATTTAATATCGTTTTCACTAGCAGTGACCCTCACTCCTTCTACCTGGATTTGGATCTAAGAACTGGGCTTCAAGCTACTGTAAAGATTGATACACCCGTCTTCCCGAAAGTTACCACTACCCTGCAAGTAGCCCCTGCTGTTGCTGGAATCACCATTGAGACCCCCAAAGGAACACACAAGGTTCAGCTTAGCTGGCGCCAGACTCGTAGAATGCCGTCTGACTGGATTGCTTCCCTCGAGCTGATCTCTCCATTACTGCCTGAGAACTACCTCTTCAGTGTTAACCTTGGAAGTAAACACATCAAGGCTGAGCTGCAAACAGGAAGCATAAAGCACGCTCTTGAGGCAAGGACCTCAGTCTAACTATGGAGGTGAATTGTCTCTCATGATTGACACACCTTTTGAAAATATCAACAAAGTTACACTTGATGCCTCACTCAACTTCCAGAACAATGTTGAGATGTATATCGCAGCCAACTTTGCCAACACTGTCAATTCCTTCCGGTTCAATTTGGACAAGGAAAACAGGAAGTTCGTCAGCATTGTGGAATCTCCATACGTTCCAACAGGAATGGCTGAAGCTGAAGCTATGCTCACAGGAAATACAAAGAACATGCAAATGAAGATGGCATTGAAGAATGCTGAAGACACCATCTCTGGAATCCTCAACGTTAAGATCGAATCTTCACAGAATGTCAATACCAACCTCAAGATTCTTACGCCATTCAAGGGTTACAAGAAGATGAACTTCGGTGCCCGCTACCTTAAAGATGAGGTGACCAACATTTCCGTGTTGCCGACAAGCCTCTCAAGTTTAAGGCAGAACTTCAGTTTGGAAACACCGAGGATGCCGTGGCAGCCAACTTGGTTGTTGAAACTCCCATCGAAGACTTCGAGAGGATCGAAGCCCAAATGAAGGTTCCCCTGTACAGGTTTGCTCCCAAGGTGATGCTGACTCTCCCTCACAACCGCTACGGTTTTACCGCAGATTATGGCAGCGACTCTTTCTCTCAGAAGTTGTCTGCTGGCGTGACGGTGAACGAAGAGTCGTATGACGGATACTACTCTCTGAGAACAAAGGCACCTTACGAGCTGGCTTACGGCTACGACTTCGCTCACTTGGCAAGCACGCGTTTCCATCTTAGAACCGACTCGTCATTCTTCTCCGTGTTTGCATAAATTCCGTGATTTGTTTGAAGACACTGATGTGTATTTATGCGTAATTTACTAACTACATTCACGGCATCTAGTCAGATCGAAACCATTATACAATATGACATGAACAAAACCATTCCAAATAATATTAAACAATTACCAAGAATGTGAAACTGTGCCTAAACATTCCTAGGCTCAACAATTTTGACAATCTTACCTTTATGTATATAGATATTCATGATAGTGACATGTATCACCAATAAAGAATTTTTTAAACAAAATACAATATGATGTAATAATTTACCAACAACCATCATTAATCATAAATAGGCATAGAGAGAATTGAAAAAAGTTATTTGTACAAAGCATTATGTTTCATATATTTTACCAATGACATCCATATGCCAAAACAGATATGGAAAAATAATCAAACAATACATTTAAGCAAATGTAAAACCTGGACTAATCGAATCCATGATAAAAATGTAAACATT